GGGGGGGGGGGGGATTGTCTAGAAAATACAGTCATATAGTCCTGTCTACTATCTGTGTGGCTTATTCTTGAGGTCTTTTCTAACTGCTTTTATGTTTGCTACACTGGAGTGCACCTAAGTCCTGCATTTCACGGTTCCCAGCTACAGGGACTGAGCCTTTCCCTCCTCTCTCAGCTGTGTTCGTTTCTACCATTGCTGTCACCTACTTGGTTGATTTGTGTGTATCTGCCATGGACTTTAAGCTTCTTAAGAGCCAAAATTGGACCTATTTACCTCTGATCCCCACACCTAGCATGACCCCTGGCTCAGGCAGGTGCTAAACAATTGTTAAAGAATTGAATGGTTTTATTACCATTATTGTTAATAATGGTTTCATTACCATTAATAATTAATATTAATGAAGATTAATCTTACTCTTTTGACTGAACTCTGGTGTTTTCCTGATTCTCTGCACTGAAGCACAGGAAGGGTTTGGAGCCTCCTGGCTGGACCATGAATAAATCTCTCCATTTACCCAAGACACTCATTCGTTAAGCCCAAGGACAGACTACCATGTATATGCAGTGCGCTCAGGGATTTTAGGCCTCTGTGCATCACAATAGAAGTCGTGCTAATTTGAATGCGAAATGGGGGTGGATTTTAAAAAAATCAATTGCTGACATTGTTGAAAAAAAAAAAAAAGATAGAAAGAAAGAAAGAAAAGAAAAGAGAAGGTTTGGCAGCTGGAACACATTTTCTAACTTCCAGGGCTGCTTTCTGGGTTCTTCCTCTTCTGGGGAAGCACCTCTCCATTTCTTGTGCCATCTGGGATGGTGCCTGGACTCCTTGCCACAGGGGTATGGACAATGGACAATGCCTTCATTCCAGGGCTTGCAAAAAGGAAAAAGGAGCCTGCCAGACACAGCCCCATGCCCATCTAGCTATCTCTGTGCTATTTCCTGCCTCTGGGCTACACCTGGAGAGAAGGTCCTGGTGCTTGCTTGGCACAGTCAAGATCTGGTCTTCCTCCCATCTCTTTCTTAACAGACCTCATTCATTCCAACTGTTGAAGGGAACCAACTGGAAAAAGACACCCTCAAGCCATCAGGCATGTGCAGAAACTTGCTCATGAATCCAGAACCTGGGTACTTTGGAGTGTGTGTCCTATGAACTGCATACTGTTCCCTGAGACTGGACAGAGAGCAGTCCCAGGCTGTGGACAGATGCTCTCAGGGGCCTGCAATCTTAGTGGGCCTGTGGTGAATGCCATGTGTGTACCCAAGATGGCTTCTTCAGGACACACACACTCAGTCCAAGTGTTGCCTGCTGGTTGCTCACAACTGAGTCCCTTCCCTGGAATTGTCCTCTAAGGAGGGAGCAGCCTTACTTGAGCTTGCAAATGCTCCTGGGTTGCAACCAGCCTGCTGCTTGATGGGGGGTGCAAAGACCTGGCCCCTTGCTTTCACTTTGGACATCCCGGCTTCAGGACTCCTTGGGGACCATCAGAGCTCCCATTGCAACTGTATCACATTCATTCTCTCCCTTGCTCTTAGAGCTGCTTAGAGGTGCTGTTCCCAAAACTATTCTATGAAAGCTTCCTGCACACAAATCTCCCTCCCGAGTCTTTTTCCAGGCAGCCTAACCTAAGTCAGGGACCCTCCCAGCTCTACTTTACCGAGAGTTAAATAGGCCTTCTGCAGATCTCCCGACGTTTCTGCTTCAATGGCCTCTTCAATGTCTTTACCGATGAGCTGGAGAGACAAAGTCCAGACGTTAATTCAGGTTTTACTTTGGGTGCACTTGGGGTCCTCACTCCACAGAAAACACTAAACTCTCCCAGATTCATCCTTTCTGGCTTCTGGCTTGCAGGGCTGAAGGTGGTTGCTCCCCCACTGGAGTGGGGCTCTCATTGCTGAGCAGTTTCTCCAGATCTGACCCCTAATGGATTTGACACCCATCAGGACCACACCCTGAGCCCCAATTTCCCCCTCTGTAAAATCAGGGCATGAAAGAAAAATGAACATACTGTATCAACAATTCTTTAGTTTATATACAGTACTGAGCTTCCTATGTGTTTTTAAAATATTTTCCATTTCTAATTTTCTACGAGGCTGTGGTTGTAATCATCTTTCCCACACCTCCCCCATCTCCTTTGCCCTGGGACTGGGCACTCAGTCTCCTACAGTCTGGGTGAAACAAGCAGAGGCTGGGAAGTTCATGCTAGGAACTTGGTCTAACGTTTCTGATAGAGTGGGGACATGTGTGCTGTGTGTGTGTGGGGGGGGGTTGCCACATCAAATGCCACTTCCCTTCACTCTGGGCTAATTCCAAGTGATCCTATATCCACACCAGCTCGCATAGCACTCTGCACAGCGTTACACGTTAGGTTTCTTTCCAAATATTTACAGAAGCCGAAGTTCAGAGTAAAGTATGACTGTGCTTAACGCCAAGTATGGCCTGGGCCACTCAGGGCAGGCAAATAAAGAGGAAGGAGAACTTTGTGTTGGGTTTGGGAAACACGTTTAAGCATTAGAAATACTGAAACATCTTTCCTAGGAATTATCTTTAGAAGATACGACACAATTGTGATTCTATAAATAATTGGAGCTCTGAGGACATGCCAGTGGAGTTTATGTAGTTTATTTTGAAACATAGGTAAACAAAATATTCCTTGTGATGCGGGCACAATAGGTGTGTGTTTGGTGGAGGTGGGGAGGGTCCAGATGTAATGAAGCCCTGTTGGCGGTCTGATCGTGATTTGCACAACCAGAGGCCTGGTGTGTAATGGATTCAAGTGGACTGAATTGGAGGTTTCCAGTCCTGTCCTTTCCTCAGCTGTCCCCAGCCTCTTTGGGGTTTGATGTGGGAGCTGGTATTTTGGAGGGACTGGTATCACTTTCCCATGAACGGGCTCTTGTTCTGTAGACTGAGATTGCATTTCAAGAGGACATTGTATTCACGCAGGTCTGTGTTTACTAAAAAGACCTCACATTAAAACACCTTCTGTTTCTGTTGTTAATACTGGGCCAGGCAGTGCTTTTCAATTTGCTGTAGAAACTTAGCCTACACAACAGATAAACGCAGAAAAGCAGGGCTGATCTGGGAGGCAGGAGATGGTTTCCTTTGCTAGCGCTAGGCAGTAATGCCGGGGTCTGCCTTCTCAGGGTCTCTCTTTTGCACGACTCCAGGGGTCACTATTCAAGCAATGCAATGAGAAGGCATTGCTCCTTTTTCTCTACCTACCTCCTGCCCCATCCCCCTCCTGGTTGCTACTAAGGCAGCTCCAGAGGCTCCATTGGACACAAATGAAAATCCATTGATTGGTCCAAGCAATTGTGACTCTCCTTTGCAAGGGCATGCTTTTCACTTCCTGGAACACTTTGTTCTTAGGGGGCCTTTTGGACAGACCCAGGTTTTCTGATGTCAGTACAAAAACACATTGCCAGGGGAATTCCAGACAAGCCTCAAAGGCTTCTAGTTAACCAGGTAGGGAGATTATTAGAAAAATAGGGGATTAAAACCAATTCCCCCAAAATGATAGTGTGCCCACAGCTGAGCCCTATACACTTGCTTTGGCTACAGCAAGTAAAGGGCTAAAGACTCGATTGGGCTTAGGAACACTTAAAGGGGAGGGGAGAAATGGTGAAGGCATAGTGGGGAGGCAGCGAGTCTGGGCTGTGGGTCTGTGTACCTACAACGCATACTGAGCCCTGTTTGGGGAACTTACTTCGGCTTTATAATTATATATACCTTTCATATTTGGTATGCTTGGGGCTGTAATAATCTTGCATGATGCAGCAGAGTTGGGGAATCTCTGTTTCTTAGGCTGTGATTTCTGAGAACATCAGTACTTAAGATTCAGGCTTAGAGGGCAAAGGGCAAAAACCTGAGTTTTTGTGCCCAAAATTACAATTCAACTCTATATGACGACAACCTGTGCTACAGAATATGCTCCAATGGTCTGACACTAGCATCTGAGTTCTTTTAGCCAAAGGCCATGAGATGGAACCATGGTCCTATGACGAGGGTGAGCTCTAAGGGTGAAATCAAGGATAAAATAAAGATGAATGATGTTCCAGCAAGGTTTTTGGAATAGATGAATAGGTAGCCGTTTTGAACTGGTTTCATGTAGAGAATCATCAGATCAGTAGACTCTCTTATTGCCCATTTGAATGTTAGCTGTGATTGTTAACACTGTTGGTTCACATAGGGAGACTCCTCACAACTGGTAATGTTAATTGAGCAATACTGCATGCAAGGACTAAGTGCTTTACTTCTATTAATCCACTTAACTGTTACTAACCCAATGAAGTAGGTACTATTATTTTCTCTATTTTATGGTTATGGAAACTGAGGCACAGAACCCTTAGTAACTTGCTCAAGGTCATACAGCTAGTAGCATAGAGCAGACTTCTTAAACTTGAATATGCATTAGAAGCTGGAAATTTGTTAAAACACAAACAGTAGGTCCCCCACCCCAGAGAATCTGACTCAGTAGGTCCAGGGTGGGGGCTGAGAATTCTCATTTTTAACAAGTTCTCAAGTAATTTTGATGCTGCTGTTTCAGGATTAATTTTGAGAATGATTGGTCTAGAGAGGAGCCTTAGTCAGGTACTTAGTCCATGCGCGCACACACACACACACACGCTCACATGTATGTGTGTCTTTATAGCCATTGGCAATGACCGCCATCCCCAGAACCTCCATCCAAGGGCCCAATCATGTGGGAATAAGTTCAGGTCACAGGGAAGACTTTCAGCTCAGTCTACACAGCTCCAGGCACAGAGAGGCCCTGGGAGTGTGGGGTCAGCTGCCTTTGATCCTGACTCTGGGCACGATTTGAAAGCACAGGGCCCTCAAGGCTTATATACAGTGATGATAAAATTCCAAAGCTTTATTGTCTTTTCATCTGCTGGCAACACTTAGGAAACACTATTTCTAGTGAGGAGCGGCCAGTTCCAGCCGAGGCAGGAGCTCAGGCTGGGGAGTCTTGGAGCCATCCACTCTCGCTACCGACTCGCTGTGTGGTCCTGGGAAGCTACAGATGGCTCCTTACTCACAACACACTGTCCTTGTCCGGCCCTTGTGGGTTACAATGGCTGTTCAGCCACATTATAGTTACGGTATTGTGAAATTGAAATGAGATACAGGGCACAGAAGCGATTTGAATGGTTAAAAGCACTCCACAAATATAAAATAGGAGACAAAAGAAATCTGATACTCCCCAAGAGGCTTCTTGCAATTGAAGGCTGATTTTTAGGGAAGGACTCACCATTAAGTGCCTTGAAATAGCTAACTCACCTTGTTGGCTTAAAATTATCATTAGATTAAAAAAATAATTGTATAAAAGTAATTTATACACATCTTTTCAGGAGTGTATGTGAGGTATATCACATCCATCTTGGGAGTGGTAAGCACTGCAAGTTAGAGTGATAACAATAGCAAACGTCTGGGTGCTTACCACATGCCCGGGGCTGTCCGAGCCTTTTATGTTGATCTCATTTAGCTCATGAAAGAGCCCTCTGAGGGTGGAATGGTGAGGATCGTGGTTCCTGCTTTACAAATGAGCATGGCGAGAGTTGGTCACTTGCCAGATGTAGAACCAGGATCTGAACCTGGACGCTTTGGTTGTAGAACTTTGCTCCTGAACTTGACACTTCTTTGCTTTCCTCGCCTCGGTCATAAGCAGTGTTTCCCAACCTTGGCAGGACCTTTGGAGCTGGGTGATTTTTTCTTGTAAGGGACTGTCCTGCGCCATTGTAAGATGTTTAGCAGCATCCTGGTCTCAACCCACTAGATGCCAGTAGCACACATTGTGACAGCCCCAAATGTTGCCAGGCCTTATCAAATATCCCTTGGGGGGCAAAATGACCCCTGATTGAGAACCACTGTTGTAAAACACTGTCTGCCCCCCCCCTTCCATGTCCCAGATCGTGGCTTCTCTTGGAAATAATTTAAGACTCAATTTCAATGTGGACTCCTTGCCCTTGTCCTTGATTACTCACAATCTGATAGGCTTGAAAGGTGGCTCGTAACTGCTTGTAGCTCCTCTTGGCCAGCACTTCATTGAAGGCAAGTTCATCAGTGCCCCAGCGGCCTTCCCCTGCCTGGGGCGGTCAAATACAAACATTTTGTAAAAGTCTTTTGCAAAAAGACTGAATAGACAGTGTTGGGACCAGGCCTCACGTACAGGAAATGATAAAATATACTTTGAATAGAAGCCAAATTGATTCACTAAACACTTTAAGCTTCTAACCCATGAGTATACTTCTGACCTATGATTTATATTCCCCCTATTATAAGATGGATCTGAGATGGTTAACCCTTGAGTATAAGAATAGGAATAATTCTTTTAGGTTTGTGGAGATCATACGTATTTCCTAAGTAACTCCCATTTGCATGAAATAAAGAAACACTTGTTGAAAATAATGCTAACACATTTTTAGAAGGTTGTTGCCGGGACTGGCACGCCTACACACTTACGTCATACAGCTCTTTGGCATCCTGACCAGCTAGATCTTTGTCCACATCGTCTCCTTCATCACGATTAGCCTAGAAAAATCGACACGTTGTTATGAACTTGATTCCTGCCTGACCACAGAAAACAAAAAGGGGAGAACGGGGTGATTTCAGAGGGGTGGCCCTAGGGAGAGTCAGCCTGGCCAAGCACTGCTCTTTGCTGCCATCTTTTGGGCACAACTGATAAACAGAACAGTTTCACAGCAGCGCTTGTTTTTTCCTTTTTGTTTTTTTCTGTAGAAATCAGGTCACTCACAAACCCCACTGACCTCTTAAGCAGGCTGAAGGCAGCCTCGCAATGTCCCTAGAGTCAGTCCATTGGAAAGCTAATAGTCTTCCTTCCAAAATATCAAAGTTCACCTCTTAGGGCCCCAGTCCTGGAGAGCCCTGCATGTTGGTCATGGAAAGTTTTGAAGTGTAACCTAAGCCCTTCGTGGCAAGGAGAATGCTAAGATGACACAATGGCTCACACCCTTGGATAATCCCTTTCCTTATATTGTCCCAGAGGTGTGAATATAATGAGATATCACTCCTGTGATTATGTTGTGTTAATGGGGCAAAGGGGGTGTTTGCAGATGTGATTAAGATCCCTAATCAGTTGAGTCCATCAAAAGTGATATTATTCTGGAGGGTCTGATCCAACAACATGAGTTCTTAAAAGGTCAGAGATGGACGAAGTCAGAGAGATGAGCTCCTGCTGGCCTGGAAGAAACCATCTTGCCATGCTTTGAACTGTCTATGGGGCACATGGCAGGGACTGCAGATGGCCTCTAGGAGCTGACAGTAGCCTCTGGTTGACTGCTAGCAAGAAAACAGGAACATCAGTCTATAGTCACAAGGAACTGAAATCTGCCAACCACCCATGAGCTTGGAAGAAGATCCAGGTCCTCCGATGAAATGGTGGCCCTGGACTCACACCTTGATCTCAGCCTGGTGAGACCCTGAGCAAAGGGCTCTGCTAGCCTGGATTCCTGGCCTATAGAAACGGTGAGATCGTAGATCTGTGCTGTTTTGAGTGGCTAAGTTTGTGGCAAGTTGTTATACAGCAGAAGAACACATATACTTCCTACTGCAGTCAGTCTATTCACAGTGAGAGGAACGAACAGAAGAAATGCACAAAGCTAATAGATGGATGTGTCAATGAGAGCACAGATGCTGTCTGATTGGAAGCCTGGGAGCTGTGTCCTTGTAGGGCCAGTTCCAAAAGCCCCACTTTCCTGGCTGAGCTCCCTGCACTGGTTCTTACAGGCTGAGACTTGGGTGAGTCCTTGAAGTACGTGCACAGTTGTGTTGTGAAAAGGGCCTGCTTGGGGACAGATGGTCTGGTTCTGGCTCCTGGACAGTGTCTTACTGTGTGTAAACCTGGGCAGGTTACCCATCCTCTCCAGGCTTGAGTTTCCTCGTTGACAAAACAAGGTGGTGAGGCTCAATGAGATAACGCAGTGATTTTCAACCTTTTTCATCTCATGGCACACAAACTAATTACTAAAATTCTGTGGCACACCACAAAATATATGTTTTTTGCTGATCTGACAAAAAAAAGGTATAATTTTGATTCATTCACACTGGTATTGTTGTGTTGGCTGTTGACTTTTTATTTTATTTTATTTTATTTTATTTTATTTTATTTTATTTTATTTTATTTTATTTTATTTTATTTTATTTTATTTTATTTTATTATTTGACAACCTAAGGGAAAAAAGGTCAGTGCCCTGACTAAATAGCAGGCATTGCATGTTTTAAAGATTCTCGCAGCATGCTGGCTGAAAATCATTGAGATAACTCATTAACAAAAAGTGATTGTAAACTGCAAATGACTAGACAAATTATTATTGTGGGAGAAATCCTAATTGAGTAATTTCACAATAGCTGATTTGATAGTCTAGGTTGATGATCCCTTGGTAACATTTTTAATAAAAGAAGGAAATGTTTACTATCTACATTGCTATTTTCCATCATGGTATATGTTGCCGAAGGATTTCCCAAGATCACAAAGCTCATGAGACCTCTTCACTCTCACCTGTAACAGGGACACCAGGATTTTTTTTAGGTTTCCACTTGTATCACCTTTGACATCTGATTCAAGGCTCCTGTCAAATACTTTCAAAGAGAAAAGGAGGGGAGAAAGCAGAGGATTTAGTTGCCCAGGTATCTGGAAAGGAACATTCTTTATCTGAAGTCAAATAAAGGTTACTTACACCTTTGGTAGGCCTCTTTAATGGCGATGATTTCCTAGAAGAGGTAATAGAGAAAATCAGTACTCCAAGGTGGGTTAATCGATGAGATACAGAGACACCCACAGAGGAAGAGACAAGGGCCTGTTTCTGGACACAGGATGCTCCCAAAGAGGGCCAACCTCTGGGTCGGGGCCCAGGCCTGGAGCAGATCCCTGGAGGTATGAAGAGGCCCTTTCTGTGCAAACATTTCAAACCACACAATAAGTTATAGAAACACTCTCCTTAGCTATAGATGAAAATGCTACAGCTAAGCTAATGTCTTACATTATCTCCTCACCGCATTTCACTTCTCCAGCCCCAGCCAGGTAGCCAGTGTTGGAAGTTCAGAGCATATCTTTGCAAATATTTTTCTTTGCCTTTGTATACATATATATGTGCTACTGAAAATGTAGAGAATTGCTTTGTGTATGTGTTTAAAAAGTAGAATGCTGAACATATTGTGCTTTAACTTATTTTTTCACTCAGTAATATGTCTTAGAGATCCAGCTATGCTTATACATAGTTATTTACCCACGTTTTTTAAATGGATGCAAAATGTTCTGTCCTGCAATAAACCACAGTTTGTTTGGCCAGCCTCCAACTGATGCCCATTTAAGTTGTTTCTGATTTTTCTCTACTTCAAAGAAGGCTTTATTCAGTAAACAATTTGTTGAGTGCAGGAGTATAAATTTGTATACAGGGTGTGTCCTGGGAACAGTTGCTTTATATTTTAATGACTGGTGCCCGGTGGTCCACTCAGGAGCTGCCTCAGTTTACACTTGAGCCAGCAGTGCTACAGCAGGCGTTTCCCCACAGTGTCGCCTGCAGGCTGTCCAAGATGAAAGTCGGCTTGCAGCATGGGAAGAGGTGGAGGAGGTGGGTGGACAATAGAAGTGAGAAGCCTGGCTCTTGTGCTTCGGTGGGTGGGAGGGGAGGCGGATTCGGGGGGTGGGCAACCACTTGGTCTAAGCAGCTCCCTCCCATTTCTCCTCCCAGCCCACTACCAGGATCTGCCCCAAACCTGGGCCTGCTCCCTCTCTGCTTTTTTTCTTTTTATTGTTGGACCTACTTGCTTGAAAATAAAGGGCTTTGCTTGTTGTTAGAGACCAGGACCTGAAAGAAACTAGGCTGAGAGGGAACATATGGTCAAACAGGATTAAGAAAATACTGATCAAATGAACCTTCTGGCCGAGGCAGGCTGCTGATTGCCCTGATCTCGGACACCTCTTTGTAGGGACTGTGGTGCTTCTGGAAAGGGTGGGAATGTCAAGTAGGGAAAGTTGTATGACTACTGGGCTGAACGGATGCCATGGCCCTTTGCTAACCCTCTTCTAAGGCACAATCCTAAATGCAAACTCCCAGAAATGGTGGGTTTTATTATCTCGTGGGAAGTAAGGAAGCCAGGCAAGCTCCAGAGAGGAGAGGGGTTCACAGTTGTAGCTTGGAGCATGGTGGAGCTTCTGGAAATACAATTGGACAGCACAGGCCAAGCAGAAGCAACCAGCTCAAGGTTGCTGGCACGCAAGGCTTAAGGAGCATTTTAGTGGCAAAGCGCTGTTGCTTTCTGCTCCAACCACTGCTTCTGTTTCCTACCTGGAGGCCTCATGAATGTTGGGATTTTCTGACATTTTTCTTGCTGGGCCTCCCCATTTTACTATGATGGGAGGTTGTGGAAGAGGGAAGAGGGAAGAGGTCTCCAAATAATGATCTGTAGACCCTCTTTACTCTTGATGAATTCCTCGGCCCTCGAGGCTTCTGGCACCGAAAACGAGTGGGCTTCCACTGGAGCCTTAACAAATGTTCTTTTCAGCTACTGAAAGTGGCATGTGCCCAAGGGAGAGGTCTGCAGGTAGAAGGACACAGAAACCTCTGGAGAGGTGCCGGCAGCCAGGGGATCCCCCTGCACCCCTACCTCTCTGCCTCCATATCATCTTTTTTGTACTCCATGTAGATGAGAGCCATGCACGAGGCGGCTACCCACACATGCTTAGGCTGCTTGTTGTGTCATTCGTTGCAGAAGACGTGCAAAGTCGGGCTGGGAGGGGGAAAGCAGAACCTTGCTTGCTGCATATAAAACTGTGCATCCATTTAGAAAAACAAAGGTTGCATTGGTACAGCTCTTCTGGAGGGATCTATTATGTCAGGCCAGTGGCAGTAACCCCCCTAGATTGACAGCCAGAGGATTGGAAGAGGCATCTCTCCTACATGGGCCAAGCGGACACATTTCTGCCCAGATACTTGCTCACCCCATGGGAGGGATGCCAGGTGTGGTTTCCCTTCTGGCTGCTGCAGCCATCTCTGAGGGGTGTTTGGGCGCTTCCTTGGGGGCCTGGTTCGAGGGCTCAGCTGGGACTAACCTTATTGGTCCTTGTGCACAGGACCTCTATGAGCATTGCCTCATCCTTGCCCAGACCCTTCATGGCCTTCTGCAGCTGCCGGGCATCGTACTCGCTGGGGAGGTCCAGAAGCGCCAAGGCAGTCTTCTTGAAATATCCACTCAGCTCACTCTCGAGCACCTCCTGCAGGTCCTGTAAGAAGACATCAAAAGCCCTGACCCGAAGTGGCCCGAGAGGAGGGGCAGGTGTCTGCTCTCCCCACTGCATGGCCTCGGGCTCCACAAGAAACCTGCTATGGACACTTGAGGAGTGATCGAAACAGGAACTCTATGGACACAAGTGACCTGCTGTGGAGGACAGTGGTCACCCTGACTACCCATCCAATTTCCCCCAGGGCTGGTAGAGGGACAGAGAGAAGATCCCCTGCTCAGGTCTGGAGGCCCCAAAGGTGAATCTCAAGAACAAGCTGCATTTGCAGAATATTTGGGGGGTTCAGGGAGCTTCCTCACTGATCCTCAAAACAGCCCTGGCAGGGGAAGCATGGCATTATCCCCATTTGCTGAACGCAGAAAGATGAAGAACTCGTCCCCAAACCTTTGGCCAGAAAGGACTGAAATATATGTCTGTAATTTCTAGGGGGACTGGATCATTTGTCACCCAAATAGGAATGCATTTGAGAATGAAAGGGGGGCACTGTTGACAATTTCAGGGGACAATAGGAGTAAATAGGGACCTTCTAGGGCAAACCTGACAAGGACACTTGGTAGCTGTTTGGATTGTCAGATCAACAGTCGCGGTATCACAGTTCTTGTGTCCAAGTAACCCTTATTTTACTTAGTAGTGCCACATTCCCATAATTTTCATTACAGTATATTTTTATAATTATCCTATCTTATTATCAGTTATTGTTGTTAATCTCTCCCTGTGCCTCATCTATAAACTAGCATAAGATGTGTATGCAGAGGAAGAAATGGTATGTATTAGGGTTCAGTACTATCCACAGTCTCAGGCATCCTCTGAAGGTCTTGGACTGTGTCCTCTGTGGCTGGGGCGGGGGTGCTATTGTATATAAAAGTGCAGAGAAAAGAAACCCAGCTGCCTATTCTTACAAACCACAAGCATGAAAACAAATCCTTGTGTGTTTACATTCTGTTTGGACACGGAAGCCGGCTCTGGATACTTTAGCTCTAATCCTGGTTTTCCTAAGTAGCTGTGCCCCCTTAGGGAGGGTATTCTCTCTGGCACTCAGCTGGCAGGGAGGCTTTGATTTGTTCTCTAATGTCCTCTAGGTTTGTGATGCTGTGATTCCAGATCACCCCCAGCTTCGTGATGCTGTGATTCCAGATCACCCCTAGCTTTCTGATGCTGTGATTCCAGATCACCCCTAGCTTCCTGATGCTGTGATTCCAGATCACCCCTAGCTTCCTGATGCTGTGATTCCAGATCACCCCTAGCTTCGTGATGCTGTGATTCCAGATCACCCCTAGCTTTCTGATGCTGTGATTCCAGATCACCCCTAGCTTCCTGATGCTGTGATTCCAGATCACCCCTAGCTTCCTGATGCTGTGATTCCAGATCACCCCTAGCTTCGTGATGCTGTGATTCCAGATCACCCCTAGCTTTCTGATGCTGTGATTCCAGATCACCCCTAGCTTCCTGATGCTGTGATTCCAGATCACCCCCAGCTTCGTGATGCTGTGATTCCAGATCACCCCTAGCTTTCTGATGCTGTGATTCCAGATCACCCCTAGCTTCCTGATGCTGTGATTCCAGATCACCCCTAGCTTCGTGATGTTGTGATTCCAGATCACCCCTCACTTCATGATGCTGTGATTCCAGATCACCTCTGTGGCAGTCTCGCTGTCTGGAACAGCTGAGAACTGGAAAGTGAGCTCATGATTGGCAGGTGTTGGAACTGTGGAGCTTTGTGCCAGAACACACGTGCTTTATTCTTTACCAGAGTCCCGAGGTCCTCACTTCAAACCCATTTATTCTTGTCTCGCAGTAAAACTGAAGAAGCTTGTGTCTGACTTTCCACATAGCAACGGTGGAAATAGACATGGCACTTGAGGGGCTGCTACAGTTAGTTGGGCACCATGGCACAGAGGAAGGTTCATCGTCATTCAATTCTATTAAATGCAGCTGAACTGAGGATTCGCTTATTTTCCATCAACGAGTGACATTGACAAGCCTGACTGTGAAGAGAGACACAGAAGGACTGTAGAAGCACAGCCACCTGGGCCCCTGGGTGTATAAACAAACAGCTCGTCTCACAGCGAGGGGTCCTCCAGGAGTGAACCCTGGCCCTGCAGTCCTGGATTTGAGTCCTGGTTGTCCTTACTTGTGTGTGATTTTGCCTAAGTCGTGTAAACGGGTGCACTCCACTCCTCCTCTCTATGACATGGGAACATTTGCACCGGGCACAGCTCCCCTTTACCGGTAGGGGCTGGCATTACCCTGATTGATTCTCCCAGCAGCCTGAGAAGGCAGGTAAATGACCATTTTCCTTCTGTGTGTGAGGAGACTGGGCCCTAAAGAGACCGTTGCCTGCCTGATGTCAGGTAAGTCAGAAGGTCCATCTCTCTCTATGTCTGTTTATACATAGAGTGGTTGAAACTGTAAAGGTTTCATAAATATGGATTAGAATACATTTTAATAATTAACACTCACTTTGCATACCGATCATTCTAATGACATTAAGAAACAGTTAAATTGTGTTCATTATATAGTAGTAAAAAATATAAAGCCTACTGCATACTTAACGATTTCTATACATAACACCATCAACAACAAAAAATGAAAGAAAACAGAGTAAAAGGGTGATGCTTAATGAAATGAAGGGGTTTTTCTTCTGTAACCATCACTTATGAAGGATATCTCATTTTTGAAGACAGCTGAAAAAAATAAAAAATTCTTAAAGACCCACTTGTGAAAACTGATTTTCAAATCACTGGCTTATCTGTAAGTTAATGTGTAGAATTAGTCTAAATGAGTGGAAAAAATGACAGAAGGACTAATAGAAAAATAAATTCAATTTTAAAAAATGAGTTCAAGAATACTGGTTTTACAGGCTATTAAGTTAACAAGCCAACTTCAGTTCTTCTAAAGTCAAGTCAATTCATTTTTTCCTCGGGGGCTAACTCGGAAGAGCCGTGAGGACGCTCCCCGCTGCAGGGGGTGTGGGGGAAGCACTGACTGTCAAGGCCAAGGCCGCTCGCACACGTGTGGGGACCTTGGACTCACCTTGCCGTACATCGCCTTGTACTTTTGCTTTATTTGTTGCCTCTCATTCGATGTCCTGCTTGATAAGATGTCAATGATGGTGGCTTCATCGGTTCCTAAAGGCAGGAGAAAGAACAAAGCAAGAAACGAAACAAGATGGAGACAGATGTTAGTCAAGCCTGACCAGGGTGGGGGGACCCTTTAGCTTTAATGTCCTGTGGAGAGTGGCATTCTTTTCACTCACTTGACAAGTATCCACAGAGGCCTTACACTGCACGAAGCACAGGGCCAGGCATTGTGGTGGTGAGAGGAAGGAGTATATGGCCTATCCCTTAATTTCTCTCCTAGGTGTATACTTAAGAGAAATGTCCACACAAAACTTGTACATGGATGTTCATTTCAGCATAATAACCAAACGGTGGAAAACAACTTGAATGTCTATCGGCGGACAAGTGGATAAACAAAATGTGGGGTAGCTATGCAACACAACGGAGTATTATTTGGCCAGGAAAAGGAATGAAGTACCTGCTATAATATGAATGAACCTTGAAAACATTATGCTAAGTGGAAGAAGCCAATCTCAGAGGTCCACATTAAATGACACCATTCATATGAAAGTTCAGAATAGGAAAATCTATAAAGACAGGACATAGACTTAGTGGCTGGGCTGGGCTGGGCTGGGCTGGAGAGGGGACTGAGAGCTACAGAGTGGGAAGTTTCTTTTAGAGGTGATGGAAATGTTCTAAACTGAGCCTGGCGATGCACTGTTCATTTGGTCTTAAGGATTAGTTTCACCTTTACAATTCTGGGAAGGTGTAGCTTTCTAAGTTCAAGTAGAGAAACAGAACATTCTAGGACGAGTCACTGGAAAAAATAGTAGGGGTTACCTGCCTACCTCATTCTGGTTCAGTTCCAACGCCGTTATTTATGTTGTTCCTCTTCATTTCCCCCTGTAGCATCACCTACGTAATGCGTATCCAGTTACTTCCTCTGTGACTTTTTTTTTTTTAACTCCCGAGTGCCAGAAATCTCACCTCCAAAGGGATTTCTTTTTCCAGTAAAAATCTCTTGAGTCTGCCCCTTTCTTTCCATGTGAGCTGCTCTTGCCCAGGTCTAGGACTCCTGTGTCTCAGGCCTGGACCCTTACTGTTTTCATCCCTGGAAAGAGCCTTCCTGCCTCCCTGGTGGCCCATTCACTGTATTGTGGCAACCGGGGATCTGGGGCTCATCCTTGGCTTCCTCTTTTCCCTTACCCCACATCCAGTTAGTCACCACCAAGGCCTCACTATTTCACTCCTCAGGTCCACCCATTTCTCTCCATCTTTACCTCTGTCACATCGCTTAGAACTACTGACACCTGCATGGGTTTCCTGCCTTACTCTCACCTTTTCCAATCAGCATTTGCTGTCCCCAGAATGACCTTTCTGATGAGCAGAACAGCCTGCTCTCTCCTCTGCTTCAAACCTTTCACTATAGGCCCCTTTAAATCCAGAATAAAGTCTCAGCTCTGTAGTGGGGCATAGGAAGCCTTTTGGATTAGGTCCTACTTGCCTCTCAAAGTCTTCTGCCTCCTCGCTTACCCGCTCCCAGGCCTCCCTTCCATCAATTCTATGAATCACTTGCAGCTCCTAGAACAAGCAACACTTTCTCGCTCACCTCTGGGTCTTCGCACGGGCTGTTCCCTCACCCGGAACACCTTTATCTTTGACCATCACAATCACTGCTCCTCCTTTAGGGCTCAACTCACTGGCTCACATGGTCTGTTCTCCTCTGTCCTGTCTCTGCCACTTCATACTGACAGCTCCACAGGAGCCGGGGGCTCTGCTCACTGCTACATTCACAGAGAAAGCTCACAGCATTTATCAGATGGCGTGCTGAATGAATGAATGTTCAAGTGCATGCATACATGAATGAATGAATAAACAAATGAGTGAATGAATGAATGAAGTTTGCACTGCATTATGACCGAATCTTGTCTCTGCGTTGGTGTAGGCTGCATTTGCTGCTCAAGTGGGCCTTATGTAGCAGGGACCAATAGGAAACCCTCTACTCTAATATTGTAGTCAATTTGTATCTGGATAATTCAGGAAAATCGAGTTATAATTTAAAAAGTAATGTCTTTTAGATTTTCCTTCTTAAAATGCTTTATGAGAGACCAGAGAGCATAGCAGATCTGAGAAGGCTCAGCAACAGCCTGGAGGTGTGGGGAGGCGTGGAAATGACTAGACTTCCCTCAAGCCCTTTGAGTCTGGGTCTCAGGTTTATCCTGGGAGCTGTTCCCACTACCCAAGAAGCTATGAACTGAACAGTGACCTCATCTTACATTTCACAATATGCGTGTCATATAAGCAGTCTGTGCTGCCCAACAATTTCCTGTAAACATTTACAATGGTTTGAGGCACTGGGGCCAGCCCCAGTGGTTCTGGGAAAGACATTAAAATATGAGACAAGAAGGAACCTCAGCCCTGACTGCACATCGGACACTGTCGAGTAATTACACAGCAGAGGTCAGGACACAGTGATCGTCAGCCTCGGGAGGGCTGGAGGGCCTCCTGGCTTTTGCTTTCCCAGTCATTTTCTGGAAAGATACCGAGCTGAGTTTCAGCAGGATGAAGGTCACTGGGTTTGAAGTGCCCTCCACTTCACACCAGGGACCCATGTGCCAGATGAGTGAGCCCTGCAGTGAACCAGGGACAGGCGCTCTGCTTTCCCCGCAGGCTCCAGATGCCAGCTACGGCCTCGGTGAGCCAGGGGCTGCTGCCCCATCTCCGGTGCCCGAGGGCCAGTCTCTTCTGTTAATACCACTGGGCTTTCCAGTCCCTCAGTTTCTCCTTTGGAAATAGAGGAGCAGGGAAAATAGATGAAGTAATGAGTGAAGGAGCAATTGCCTGCCTGGGAGGATCATTATTTTCTACTTGCTCATTGTATTAGTTTCCTGAGGCTATATTGACTTCCACAAACCCTGGGGCTTAAAACAACAGCCGTTTAGTCCCTCACAGTTCTGGAGGCTAGAGGTCTGAAATGAGGTTGTCAGCAGGGCCACACTCGCCCCAGAGGCTCTGGAGGCTGCCAGCCAATACTAGGCTTCCTCCGTTTGTGTCTGTGTCACTGCCTGTCTTTACTTGGCCTTCTCCCTGTGTGTCTTCTGTCTCCTTTAAGGACACTTATCACAGGATTTAGGGCCCACCCAGGTAATCCAGGATGATCTCATCTCAAAATCTTTAATTACATCTACAAGGACCCTTTTCCCAAATAAGGTCACATTGAAGGTTCCAGGGGACATATTTGGGGGGCGGAGGGGCACCATTTAACCTGGTACACCCTCGGCAATAGAGAATAAAGATCCCTCAAGGGCGGGCCTGTCTGCTGCTCATACTGATCTAGTTGGCTTTGTGTGCATTTTGTATCTGAGCCTATTGTTGAAAAGGAGAAGGTGAACATATAGGGAGGGCCAGTGAGGTGCTGGGTCCTGTGCTGCCTGCTTTATCCTCAAGACCTCCCTGGGAGGAGACAATATTAGTCCCATTTTGCAGATGAGAAAACTAAGGTCACAGCACCAGTAAGTGGCAGAGCAGCAGCTCAAACCCAGGTCCAAAGTTCATTCCCATACCCGGGGAGTGGAAAGAGCCCTGGGCTCAGGGTCACAAGGCCTGAGCTCCAGGCCTGGCTCTGCTCCTGTGTGGCTTGAGCAGCATTGCTTAGTCTCCGTGGATCTCAGATGGACTATACCTTGCTCCCCAAAGTGTGGTTCCAGGATCTGCTGCATCAGCATCACCTGGGAACTTACTGGAAATGGACAATCTCAGAAACCACTCCGAACCACCCAATCAGCACCTGCATATTAACAGTGACTCAAATGCACATTAAGGTTTGAGAAGCTGGGATTGGGTCAACTCCATGGCAGCTTGTGCCTCTAAGAACCTGTTTCCATGCTTCTGTGAGGCAGAATGACAGACATCCTTTTACATTTCAGAGAGGATAATGGATGTTGGGGTCCATACCCTGTCAGGATTAAGGCATGCTCTTCAGAAGGGCCCTGCTGGGATGGGGGAAGCAGAGGGACACAGAGCCCTGAAAGGAAGTCCTGACAAAGAACATCGGCATTGAGGGGAAAGGGCTATTCAGGGGGCAGTTAACCAAGACCCAGACCAATCACTACTTAGTTTCATGTTGCTATTTGGAAAAATCAAATATTGTTTTGTGGTAAAGCATTCTTATTATTTTGATGGGTGAGTGGGTAGAAAGTGCACATAATCTTTTGGATGCAATGGGGCCTCTAGACCTCCTCTCCTCAATACCGTGGCTATATGTGGCTGTTGAGGACTTGCAGTGTGGCTGCTCCAAGTTGAAATGTTTTAAGTGTAGAATACATATCATATTTTGAAGACTTAATGTGAAAAAAAGGGATGTCAGCTATCTCATTAATAATTTTTGTATTGATTGTCGAAATGATACTTTGATAATTATTGAGTTAACTAAAGTATATTATTCAAATTAATTTCACTTGCTTTTTTTTTCTTTTAAAATTTGGCTTCTCAAAAATTTGAAATGATCCACATGACTCACCTTTGTGGCTGTTGGACAGCATGGCCCTGGACACTTAAATTTAGCCCTGGTAGAGGTGGTACATCAATGAGATGGGTGTATGGTCTTGCTGACAAATTTTGCCAATGATACAATTTTGCTCTGGCTTTCACTTCTTGGTAGAGGTTGGAATGCTACCTACAACCAAATAATAGCTTTCCAATATGGCCCTAGTTTCTGGTCACCCACCCTCATTTCACAACTTTTTGGCCTTGGGCAAGATATTTAACCTCAGAATCTCGTCATTCTCTTCTGTTACATCATTATAATTCAACTTTACAGGGTTGTTGGAAGGATTATACAAGATGACATGCATGCAGTACGCAGCTTGGCACTTGGCACGCAGAAGGTGTTCTACAACAGTGACCAGGGCAAGACAGTGGTCCACCTTGTGGCACATCTGAAAGGGGGGAGAGAACACTGAGTGACTTTGCCATTCAGTAGGTGCCTCACCTGTGCTTACTGAACTAAACTCATGTGGTGGGCTGAGAATGTGGGGATTTATCTTTAACCACAGCTGAGTCATTCCCACACCCACATCCAGGTGTTAGGACCTCAACTTACCAGGCAGCAGGGATGCACCTGTGAGGCTGGCTCAGCCACTCTGCAGAACTCAGAACTATAAACATTCTAAACATCCTGCCCCTTCCAGGCAAACACGTCTCCCAACAGTTGTTCAAATACAACGTTAGCCAAGTCTGGGTATAAGCAAGGGCTCTCCTCTCTGCTGAGCTTTCTTCTGCTACCCCCAAACCAAGCAACCTAGTTGCTATCCTTCATTTCTAGCTCTCTCCCCCTCTCTGATTTTTTTAAGAATACTGACTATGTAGAAATCCCTTCTCCAACCTCAGCTCCCTTGAGACTTCTCCAACATTTCTTGGGTAAGGCACTATTCTATAGTTAGATAGTTCCTTATACTGGAGCAAAATATGTCTTCTTAGAACTGCCACCATGGATCCCAGTTTTTCCTCTGGAATCACACAAAGAATTTATGGCTCTATTTATTCTACTACAATACCCGTTTCTATAAAAGTAAATCTCCACTAACTTACTTCTAAGTAAAAATCTAGCACTTGTTTTCACAAAACATTATGCCAAGTGAAAGAAGCCAGACACAAAAAAGGTCATATATTATATGATTCCATTTATATGAAATATCTGGAATAGGCAATCCATAGAGATAGAAAGTAGATTAGTGGTTGCCTGGGCCTGAAGAGAGGGGGGAATCATAAGTGGCTGCTAATGGATGTAGCGTTTCTTTCTGGGGTAATGAAAATGTTCTGGAATTAGTAATGATGGTTCGGTGACCCTGTAAATATATTAAAACTCAGGCTTCTGGGATGAGAACCATATTTCATCAGGGATCTCCTTGGGTCTCAGAGCCTCTCTTCATGACTTCATTTCTAGATTCTTTCTCCCTTGTCCCACCTTGTTACTGAGGTTACTTTACTCTTGATCTGTTGCTTAGTCTCCTATTCTTGGCCATGCGTTTACCCTTAGGCCTGGACATAAAGAGCTTCTCCAGTTTTGACCCTTGACTCTTGACCTTGACCACGATTTTATGTTCACTTGATCTACTTACAGATAGCTCCCAGATCCCTAATCCAGCTCTCACCAGACCTGATTCCCACCACCTCCCATTAAAGGGATCAGACAGGTTTAGAAGACATTAGGATTGCATGAACTATACTTCTCATGATGTTTCTTTCACCTCCAGGTCAAATTAAATGTCGGACTATCTGGTTTCTAACTATTGAATCGAATCCTGAAAAGCAATATGATCTGATTATAACTTTGGAATCTTTTATAGAGAGAACCTTAGGAGTAATCAACTTCGGTTAGCCTGGAAGACACAAGTTAACTGGGAAGTCACCTTCCTAAGATCATGGGAAAGTTGTACATGAGATCAAATTTAATTAACTTCAAAAGTAAATTAGCAAACAAAATATCTTTCATACCCTTTCCTTTGCAGGCTTTGTTCAGCTTCTTGGCATCTTGATTCACATCAAAACCCTGAGGACTTCTCTCTTTGGCCTGGAGAAAATAATTGAACAGGTGGGTAGACAATAACAAGCATTCTTAAATTATCTCTGGCTGAAATTGGTAGCTAATTGGAAGACCAAACAGGTATTTAAATGAGGGACCAGCTGACACTTTACACATGGGTACATGTGGAAATCAGGTGGGGACGCTCTGGCCCCAGAGAGATGGCTGGTACTCCTTGGAGCCAGCTGGCCTTGTATGACCACAGAGAATGGGCCCCTCTGTTCTCAAAGACAATCAGCCTGGCCAACTCTAGGATGAGTGATTTTTCTTATCAACCCTAATTTTGTGTGACTGTCTCTGAAATAAAGCATAATACAGTGGCCACTGTCTTGCAATATTGGTTCGCCATTTTGCCATGAGACATAAGTATGTCTAGGGAGTAGATGTTGCCAGCCAGAAGCTGAGGGTTCTAGGATCTTATTACAGATCCACTTGGTGACCTGGACTAAAGCTTTGCCATTCACACAATGAGAAACATAATATTCAGTTTGCCAGAGACACCATATAGACCAGCAATAGCATCGTTACTGGTTTTTACTGCTCCCTGGGAGAGAAAGTGCCGTTTATATACTAAGCTAATGTTTCTCATACTTCAGTCATTGGCACAACACATGCACTGATTTGTCCCCAGCTCCTTAATTCTATATTATTATTTGCTTATTATTTTTATTTCAACTGACCTACTTTGTTTTTACTTAAAGTTATTTTAAGAAGGAAACTTTCTATTGGGGCTAAAATGCAAAACCAGTATCAGTTGCCTAAACAAAAGACGAACATGAAAATAAATACATCGCTATAAAAATTGTAAAGGTTAATTACAGTTTTGCAACTAGTAGCCTTTAGCACACCCTGCCTTCCTCAGTGCTTTGTATTTCCTCACAGAGACTCTTTGAGGGCGTGTGTCACTGTTTCCCATCCTTCAGTGGAGGCCAGTTTAAGTGCTCCTGTCTATTCCACTGGCTCCCCTCTCCCTCCTTTCATGTCCTTTGGCTCCTATTGGGAATGAATGGTACCCCACGTGAGGCACAGTGGACACGTTGCATTTATCTGTTTGGTATCTCTGTTTCACTTGGTCTCATTGGGGCTGTCAGGAGTGAGGCTTGAGCCCCATTGTCTTCCCTTGGGTGGGCACAAACCCTGTCACTCTGGCAATCGTGATTGGCTCAGGAGTGGGTAATCCAAGCAGGATCAATTAGTGTCTTTCCCTTGGTTGCTACATAGATATTGAGAAAGATACATCTGTCCCACTGGGCTTGGGAAGCTAGAGAGTGTGGATCTAGGGCTGCTGGCAGCCGTGCTATCAGTGTGAAGGGAGCATGAGTTCAGAATGAAGCAAAGCAGAGACAGAAAGAGTATATATATATATATATATATATATATATATATATATATATAGAGAGAGAGAGAGAGAGAGAGAGAGAGAGAGAATGAGAACATTGTATAAATCCTCAGATACAGCACTGCCTAGACCCTTGCACTTCCCAGTTTCATTAAGTAGCAAACTACCACCTTCTTTTAAGTTAATACGAGTTGGGTTTCTGCCCTTGCAGTCCTGACTAATATCCAGGGACTTGGGGAGGGGAAGGCTGGCTTCTAGGCCTTGGTTAATGGAGAATCATGTAATCTTAGAGCCAAAGGGATCTTCAGGGCCACCTATCACCCCACTGCCTTTTGGATTGTAAATGCATGGCCCACCCTGAAGTATGTATTGCCAAAACAAGTCAGGAGGGGACCTTACACTTGTTGAGCACCTGCCACGTGCCAATTTCTTCATTTGCAGACCTTTCTTCATTATTAACAGGGAAGAGTAGGCATTAGTAACCTACTTTGCAGATAAGGAGAGCTGGGTTCAGTCAGGTTAGGGAATATTTTGGGGCTCTTGAGGGATGCAGGGTTGCTCCCAGCTCAGTGTGCCTCCTAAGGTTCATGCTCTTGGGTCCAGTGAGCCATCCTGGACCCTCAAACTCCATGACTGGGGTCTTTGTGTCCAGTGGAGGAGTGACATATCCCATTTTCCCTTCCAAATCTTCTGTGGGATATAAGAAAGCTATCTGGTTCTCCGAGGACTTTTTGGCAGGATCAGTGACATAATTTGTGGGGCTCAGTGAAAAATTAAAATGCAAGGCTCCTTGTTCAGAAATGATTAAGAATTATAAGGTGGTGACATCAGAGCACTAAACCAAGGTGCATGATCCTTCTGAGCATGGGTCCCTATGTGACCGCACAGGCTTCACACTTAGGAAGCCCACCCTGTTTTTGTTTTTGCTTTCAAGATTTTGTGTTGATTTTTAGAGAGGAAAGGAGAGGGAGAGAGAAAGATCTATGTGAGAGAGAAACATCAATTGGCTGCCTCCTGCACACCCCCTGCTGGGGATGGAGGCCGCAACCCAGGCATGTGCCCTGACCAGAAGTCCAACCTGCAACCTTTCCGTGCAAGGGGGATGCCCAACCAACTGAACCATGGTGGCCAGGGCACCCACCCTGCTTTTATTTTTTTAATCCTCACCTGAGGACATTTTTTCCATTGCTTTTCAGAGAGAGTGGGAGGGAGAGAGAGAGGGAGAGAAACATCAATGTGAGAGAGTCATTGATCGAGCCCACAACCCGGGCATGTGCCCTGACCAGGAATCGAACCCCGATCGCCTGGATCCTAGGTGGACGCTCAACCGCTGAGCCACGCCCGGCCGGGCCCACCCTGCTTTTTGACCGAAGTCTGGAAGGAGTAGCTCTCCAAGTGTGGGACTGCGGGATGTAATCTCGGAGGCATAAATGGTGTCCTTGCTTTTCATTAGAAGTATTAAAGAGAGCTCAGGAAGTGAGGTGGAACTGAACCAGAACAGAAGAACTCTCTTATTAACAGGCCGATTCATACAATGTTCTGGATGTCATTTCAGCTTCATCAGTGCAGAGAACTATTATCTGTCCCACTTCACAACTGACAAATTGAAACAGAGACACAGGGCTCTGTGAACGGCCATGAGGTTGTGCCCTCGGCCAGGGCCCTCCGGGGCACTGGGCCTGGAGTCCAGCCGGGGTTACACTTGCCACGCCTGTGCTGGGAGAGCTGCTTCTTGCTCAGAGGGACACTTTTTCCTCCTTTGCACAAAGATGCAGCCAGGACTTGCAGATGCCACGTGGAGACTTGTTCAAGATCACCTGGCAGGGCGGTGGCTGAGTCACAGCCAGGGCTGGAACCAGGACTGTCTGACTCTGTCAGGTATGAAATGACATTCCCGCATCTAGTCTCTCACTGTTTTCCTAAGGTGATTCCATGATAAAATAGAGTCACAGGAGTGGAGGGATGGGAAAAGAGCCCTCTGAACATGCCCAGTTTGTTTATCCAGGGCCAGAAGATAAGCCCCATTCAGACCAAAATAACAGTGCTGTCTGGGGCTGCAGTGGGAGAGTGCTGACCCTCTTGTTAAGAATAAAGGTGTAGTGAGACTTAATTTCTTTCTTTTTTGCTTAACAAATAATGTGGCATAGAAGTCTATATCTGGTGCATGCCCATCAGCAGGGCTAAGTTCCCATCCTCTAGTTCCTTCTAGAAACCCCTGTTAGCCATGCTGGTTCGCTTTCCTGATCCAGACAGAATCTGGTCTTGTTCCTCTTTACAGCAGGGCATTTAAATCAGTATGAAGGGATCATGTGATGTGATTTTTTTTTTTTTTAAAAAAAAAAGGGAAAAAGAAAACAGTCTGCTTGGAATTTTCCCCTCTGTGTGGCAGGGCCGCCTCCACAATGGGCATGTTCACCAGTGCGGGCCAGTGTTGATGCGACGGAGTGTCCTTGGCACGTTCCCATGAGCGGGGTAAGCAGCTCCTCTGGACGGTATAGAGGGCGGACATTCCACACCCATTGTTCATTGTTAGCTGACTTTGGGGCCTCGGGCCTGTTTGCCAATCAGGAGATTTCATTTTTGAAACCTGAGGCCGTGGAGCAGAACTTCCACATGAAGCAGATCTGCAGGAATGTGAGTTAGACACCACATGGGGTGCAGGGGGCTCCAGGACGGTGATGGACACGTTCATGAGGGTTTAGGCAAATACACAGGCACTTTCACTTGCTTTCAACTACAAGTCATAATAGACTTGTTGTTTTTTAAATAGGATTTGCACTGGTACTCAGGAGACACATAAAAAAGACAAGATGTTAGATGCTAATAAAAATGATTACAGAAGTCTGGGCTTTCAGCCCACATGAATCCAAGTTTAAATGTGGTTCTGCCCCCTAGCAGCCACGTGACCTTGGACCATTAACCTTCAGCTTCCACTTTCTTATCTGTGAAGTGAGGGCAGTGTCTGCTTTGTCAGGTTGTGTTGGGGGCAGAGATGTTGAGCGTGCTCTGTTGACCGTGACTGTGAAAGGAAGGGGGCCCCTAATAGGAACAGGACCATAGTTGTTTAATGATCATTCACCTTACTAACTATAGGTATGAGGTTTTTCTTACAGACCCCAGAAAACTGGAAGATGTGCTGTAAGAAGAAAAATGGAGCTGTAAAAAGATAAGAGACACCTGGGGGCCTGGATGGGTCCATTGCTCAGAAAAGAAAATGCATTTTGAGAACAAAGGACAGGATTCACTTTGATTTGGTTGCTGTGCCTGGAGCCTGACCCCACTCCAGGAGTTTACCTTGGGAATCCTGACCATTCACAGGTCCTAGGAACTGGTGGAACTGGGTTTTAACACCATTGAAAATTAACTACCTTGTTTTCAAGATTCTGGAAGGAGACACAGGACCACAGACCCTGCAGCCATCCTTCTACCCGCCCCCTACCCCCTTGCATGCAGCCCTATATAACCAGCCAGATAATAAGGGAAGGGCAGAGCAGATTTTATGTGGACAAAGCCTACTGCTCTCCCATTTTGCCAGCAATAATGGAATAAATGCTCCAATATGATTCAACTTTGTCTCTGCTTAATTGGCTGAAATAGCCACAGACACGCATCCTGGACCGACTGTGTCCAGTTTCAGTTGGAGGCTTAC